TAATAAGTTGTAAGTACTTACCTAACTCCCTATTTGTGAAAGTAGTATGTACTTGTCTCCTGAATTGTACACTTAGTACATTAGAGCTAAATTTTCAATCGATGGTAGGGAAACTCAGAACCATTCCAAAAAAAATATTTTTTATTTTTCTCGTGTTTAATACATTAATTAATTCAATACATAGATGATAGAGGTATTACTGTATGAGATTCTTAAACAGTCTGTTCCTCGGGACTCTCTGATGTCCATCTGGCTGTCATCTGTTGAGTCAATTTTCTGCAAAACTCCAGTTATCATTGGTAGCTAATAATTCTATCACACATGCTGATGAAAAGTTTTTTAGTTAGGAATCACCGAAAAATACGAATTTTCATTACATTACAATAACATGTTAATGACTTGTACTTACTCTTACTTTTTAATAACTACTACATACTGTCTGCATTAATTAGAAGGTGCCTATTATTGACTTACAAGTAATATTCAATGAAAGTACTTACTTTGAAATTTGGTTTTTGTGAAAACTAATAGTAGACCCTTTGGAAGTATCCCCATATACAAACTACTTACTTAACTCCTTATTTGTAAGCGAGTGTGGCAAGCACTTGCTAAAAAATTTAAAAATGTAGAATGATAAAAAATGTTAAATTAATTTACGAAATTTAAAAATATATTAAAAAAATTCAAGAAAAATAAAAACAAATTTTAAATACATTTAAGGAAGGAAAAATAAGATTCGGCTTAACCGAATGTTGCACTCTTACTTCTTTTTTTATTAGTTAATGATTTTATTAATTATCATTTATATTATTTAATTTCCCTTTTTGTTTTAATTATTTTACATTAATATTTTATTTCATTGACATTTTCCATTGTTAAAGTTTATTGGTTGGTATCATAATTGTGATGATTAATTGAATTTCTATTGTGCTTTTATGTTTTGTTTTATTCAAAATAGTGTTGAATATTTTCCCAAAGAAACGAATAAATTAAAATATTTTGTCTAAAGGGTTTTGTCAGGAGCTCTAAATAAGGCCCTCTTCAAAGTTTATAATCGTATTCTAATTAAGCAATAATAAGTTTTATGTTAAGGTCTTTAGTAAATCAGTCAATCATAATCACAAAATCAAAGCTCTATAGACATAAAGCTAAAAATCTATTTTTATTTATAATTTCCAGCAATAATCGATATTTGGAGTTCGACAAGAAACTTCTAACAATATCAGAGTCTGGTAGAAACAGTCGTGAATTTTTGCTCTCTATTGTATATGTATATTTCCGAACATTAATTGTATTTATTAATTATTAATTACTATTGACTTCTGTATTGAATTTTTTTATTGATGTCAACTTTATACTTTGTTTTTAAGCTTTGATTTGGAATTGTTCCCTTTTATTATAAATTATTTATGCTGTTGTTTTTTTTTATTCTAGTTCAGTTCTAGTTCAGTTCTAGTTCAGTTCTAGTTCAGTTCTAGTTCAGTTCTAGTTCAGTTCTAGTTCAGTTCTAGTTCAGTTCTAGTTCAGTTCTAGTTCAGTTCTACTTCAGTTCTAGTTTAGTTCTAGTTCAGTTCTAGTTTAGTTCTAGTTCAGTTCTAGTTCTAGTTCAGTTCTAGTTCAGTTGTAGTTCAGTTCTAGTTCAGTTCTAGTTCAGTTCTAGTTCAGTTCTAGTTCACGTTCTAGTTCAGTTCTAGTTCTAGTTCTAGTTCAGTTCTAGTTCAGTTTCTAGTTCAGTTCTAGTTCAGTTCTAGTTCAGTTCTAGTTAGTTCTACTTCAGTTCTAGTTTAGTTCTAGTTCAGTTCTAGTTTAGTTCTAGTCAGTTCTAGTTCAGTTCTAGTTCAGTTCTAGTTCAGTTCTAGTTCAGTTCTAGTTCAGTTCTAGTTCAGTTCTAAGTTCAGTTCTAGTTAAGTTCTAGTTCAGTTCTAGTCAGTTCTAGTTCTAGTTCAGTCAGTTCTAGTTCAGTTCTAGTTCAGTTCTAGTCAGTTCTAGCTCAGTTCTAGTTCAGTTCTAGTTCAGTTTCTAGTTCAGTCTATTGTTCTAGTTAGTTCTAGTTCAGTTCTAGTTCAGTTCTAGTTTCCAGTATTAGTTCAGTTCTAGTTCAGTTCTAGTTCAGTTCTAGTTCAGTTCTAGTTCAGTTCTAGTAAGTTCATTCAGTTCTAGTTCAGTTCTAGTTCAGTTATAGTTCAGTTCTAGTTCAGTTCTAGTTCAGTTCTAGTTCAGTTCTAGTTCAGTTCTAGTTCAGTTCTAGTTCAGTTCTAGTTCAGTTCTAGTTCAGTTCTAGTTCAGTTCTAGTTCAGTTCTAGTTCAGTTCTAGTTCAGTTCTAGTTCAGTTCTAGTTCAGTTCTAGTTCAGTTCTAGTGTTCAGTTCTAGTTCAGTTCCTAGTTCAGTTCTAGGTTCAGTTCTAGTTCAGTTGCTAGTTCAGTTCTAGTTCAGTTCTAGTTGAGTTCTAGTTGGTTCTAGTTCGCTCTAGTTGTAGTTCTAGTTCAGTTCTAGTTTCAGTGTCTGAGTTCAGTTCTAGTTCAAGTTCTAGTTCAGTTCTAGTTCAGTTCTAGTTCAGTTCTAGTTCAGTTCTAGTTCAGTTCTAGTTCAGTTCTAGTTCAGTTCTTAGTTGAGTTCTAGTTCAGTGTCGAGTTGAGTTCTAGTTGAGTTCTATTCAGTTCTAGTTGAGTTCTAGTTCAGTTCTAGTTCAGTTCTAGTTAGTTCTAGTTCAGTTCTAGGTCAGTTTCTAGTTCAGTTCTAGTTCAGTTCTAGTTCAGTTCTAGTTCAGTTCTAGTCAGTTCAGTTCAGTTCTAGTTCAGTTCTAGTTCAGTTCTAGTTCAGTTCTAGTTCAGTTCTAGTTCAGTTCTAGTTCAGTTTCTAGTTCGTTTCTAGTTCAGTTCTAGTTCAGTTCTAGTTCAGTTCTAGTTCAGGTTCTAGTTCAGTTCTAGTTCAGTTCTAGATTTCAGTTCTAGTTCAGTTCTAGTTCAGTTCTAGTTCAGTTTCTAGTTCAGTTCTAGTTCAGTTCTAGTTCAGTTCTAGTTCAGTTCTAGTTCAGTTCTAGTTTCAGTTCTAGTTCAGTTCTAGTTCAGTTCTAGTTCAGTTCTAGTTCAGTTTCTAGTTCAGTTCTAGTTCAGTTCTAGTAGTTCAGTTCTAGTTCAGGTTCTAGTTCAGTTCTAGTTCAGTTCTAGTTCAGTTCTAGTTCAGTTCTAGTTCAGTTCTAGTTCAGTTCTAGTTCAGTTCTAGTTCAGTTCTAGTTCAGTTCTAGTTCAGTTCTAGTTCAGTTCTAGTTCAGTTCTAGTTCAGTTCTAGTTCAGTTCTAGTTCAGTTCTAGTTCAGTTCTAGTTCAGTTCTAGTTCAGTTCTAGTTCAGTTCTAGTTCAGTTCTAGTTCAGTTCTAGTTCAGTTCTAGTTCAGTTCTAGTTCAGTTCTAGTTCAGTTCTAGTTCAGTTCTAGTTCAGTTCTAGTTCAGTTCTAGTTCAGTTCTAGTTCAGTTCTAGTTCAGTTCTAGTTCAGTTCTAGTTCAGTTCTAGTTTAGTTCTAGTTCAGTTCTAGTTAGTTCTAGTTAGTTCAGTTCTAGTTCAGTTCTAGTTCAGTTAGTTCAGTTCTAGTTCAGTTCTAGTTCAGTTCTAGTTCAGTTCTAGTTCAGTTCTAGTTCAGTTCTAGTTCAGTTCTAGTTCAGTTCTAGTTCAATTCTAGTTCAGTTCTAGTTCAGTTCTAGTTCAGTTCTAGTTCAGTTCTAGTTCAGTTCTACTTCAGTTCTAGTTTAGTTCTAGTTCAGTTCTAGTTTAGTTCTAGTTCAGTTCTAGTTCAGTTCTAGTTCAGTTCTAGTTCAGTTCTAGTTGAGTTCTAGTTGAGTTCTAGTTCAGTTCTAATTCAGTTCTAGTTCAGTTCTAGTTGAGTTCTAGTTGAGTTCTAGTTCAGTTCTAGTTCAGTTCTAGTTCTAGTTCAGTTCTAGTTCAGTTCTAGTTCAGTTCTAGTTCAGTTCTAGCTCAGTTCTAGTTCAGTTCTAGTTCAGTTCTAGTTCAGTTCTAGTTCAGTTCTAGTTCAGTTCTAGTTCAGTTCTAGTTCAGTTCTAGTTCAGTTCTAGTTCAGTTCTAGTTCAGTTCTAGTTCAGTATTAGTTCAGTTCTAGTTCAGTTCTAGTTCAGTTCTAGTTCAGTTCTAGTTCAGTTCTAGTTCAGTTCTAGTTCAGTTCTAGTTCAGTTCTAGTTCAGTTCTATTTCAGTTCTAGTTCAGTTCTAGTTCAGTTCTAGTTCAGTTCTAGTTCAGTTCTAGTTCAGTTCTAGTTCAATTCTACTTCAGATCTAGTTTATTTTTAGTTCAAAGATATCTCAGATTATATAATGCAATCGTTCTGTTTGTATGTAACAGAACAGAACAGAATATTTAAACAGAATATTTAAAATCACGTTTTGCTGATTTCAAAGTTCTTTATACTATTTCCCCTTTCACAGAATTTATATTTTATTAACTACTACAAAATCATTAATCGTACAAATTGTATGTACTGAATTTATAATTTATTAATAAATTTATGAAATCAGACAAAAAGCAAAAAAAAAAAAGTCAGTTGATCAAATATTTATATTTGATAAAATAAATACAGAAAATACACAAATAAATTTGCATTAACAAAAAATATTCTCTCAAATAAATTCATATAATATATTCAACAAAATAATTTTGTAACTGAATTTTTTTAATAAATAAACCACCTAGAAAATCATTAAATATTATCACGATAAACAATATACATAAATTCATTTTTTCCCGTCATTTTTATGTTAAAAAAAAATTATGTATTATATTTAATTTAAGCTATGAATTATAATTGAAAAAAATAAAAGGAAAAAGGATTTTTATAAAAAAGTTTTAATTTCAATACAATTCATGTTTATTTATGTATTTTAAATTTATATTAAAAAATTCATTCCGCACCATTTGCTGTTTAATTTTTTTAATTTCTAGTTTTAAAGCAAACATATTTTATTTCATCTATTTTACATTTATTTTTTTTTTCAGAGCCTATTTGCGTGACGTAGTTGAAACTGCTAATATTTTCATTAAAATGATGGAGAAATTTTGCAAAGATTCCGTGGTTGTTCAAGACAAGAAACGCACCAAAAAACGTTCTAACAAAAAATCTAAAAAATCTGAGAAACCCGTTCAAGAAACTGAAGTAAGTTGGAGTTTAAATTAAATTATGTATTCAATTCATTTTATAATCCTTTAATTGTAATCTTTATGATTTTTTATTTTATTTAAACTTTTTCATTTAATTTATTGGCGTTTAATATTTATTATTACTTGACTTATGATGATGGATTTTTAATTTGAAACGATAAAAATCTTTAAACAAAATTTTTATATTTTTTTAACCCAGTGAATATAAAATTAAATGATTGAAAGATATGTTCTTTTCATATGATATTGGAAGCCTTACTTACCAACAGAAGTTTGAATTTTACAGTTGTTTCAGTTCTAGTTCAGTTCTAGTTAGTTCAGTTCTAGTTTAGTTCAGTTCTAGTTTAGTTCAGTTCTAGTTTAGTTCAGTTCTAGTTTAGTTCAGTTCTAGTTTAGTTCAGTTCTAGTTCAGTTCTAGTTCAGTTCTAGTCAGTTCTAGTTCAGTTCTAGTTCAGTTCTAGTTCAGTTCTAGTTCAGTTCTAGTTCAGTTCTAGTTCAGTTCTAGTTCAGTTCTAGTTCAGTTCTAGTTCAGTTCTAGTTCAGTTCTAGTTCAGTTCTAGTTCAGTTCTAGTTCAGTTCTAGTTCAGTTCTAGTTCAGTTCTAGTTCAGTTCTAGTTCAGTTCTAGTTCAGTTCTAGTTCAGTTCTAGTTCAGTTCTAGTTCAGTAGTTCTAGTTCAGTTCTAGTTGAGTTCTAGTTCAGTTCTAGTTCAGTTCTAGTTCAGTTGTAGTTCAATTCTAGTTTCTTATCAATTCATTTCAAAAATAAAATCATATTGTTTGTTGGGTAGGAACGGATATGTGAACGTATGTAGAGTATGAAAAATAAATTAAAATATTTCACATCTGTAAACATATATAGATAGATTTTGTTGGTGGAATATGTGTTCGGTGGGTGCTCGGTCGGATATCACACTGAGCATTGAGAACCACGAGGGATTTTATTTCGGCATACAGACAACCGTCGATGTGGAGTAAAACATACAATAATAAAAACTATTGAAATACAAAGAAAGAAATTAAATAAAAATAAAAGAAATATTGCTAAAAAATATGTAGGAAACAAGTGTGAAAATTAAAGTCGATCAGTGGAAATACACTACGGGATATTTAAGTCGAAGTTTTTTCGAAGTTTGTGACAATAGTTAATGACCTAATTCTTGTCTAAGTACATTTTGAGAGTGTTTAACACATTTCCTGCAATAAATAATTGAAATTCTTTAGTTATTAAATTATTATTAGGGTCTAAGCATTTAGATGCAAATGATACTGACATGTTTATGTATGTAAATTATTACGACAATGAAGGGTATTGCAATGTTTTTCATTAAAAGTTATTTTTTCCTATGATTCAACATATGTATAAAAGTTTTTACACAGTATGTGCTTTTCAGCCCCAATTCATTTGTTTTATTCTACATTTACATTTATACATTCGACAGTTATTACATAAAAATATTAATTTTAAAGAGCCTGAACGGCTGACCAGCTGACTGGCTAGATTAACTAACAGTCCTGCAGGACAACGTTTTTTTCGAAGTGCATATTTAATATTATTCTTTTTTTTTTTTTGCTGAAGTCCGGAAATTTTTAACACATTTTTATCGTTACATTTGTATGCCTACACTTTAGTTTCTTTAAAAAATATTTTATGCCTCGTAACTCTTTCTTTTTCATGTAGTTATAGATTAAAGATAAATTTACCAAGTTTTTTTTTGTTTTAATTTTAAATACAATAAAATACTTGCTGATACAACAATATTTTCATTCAATTAAATTTGATGATAAGCATAAATTTTCAATGAAAAATTATAAACCAGACATTTTACTGCTTTCATTATACATTTGTTTGTATTCGATTGAATATATTGGGAAAAAATTAATTTAAAAGAAAAAACTTTAAAATACTGGTAATAAATGATAATAAATGAGTTTAGGTTTTTTTATTTGTATTTTAGCATAATAGAATCATAAATTGTTGAGATTTTTTTTTAGGAGAAATTTTAAAACTCTATTGTTATTTCATTTATTTTATAAAAATTTTAAAAAACAATTGTTATTTAAATTTAAAACCTGTTAACGGGAATATTATCAATTAAATATTCGTTAACTATTAAATTTTTGTTTAATTATTTTAAAAGCTTAATTTCCTTTTCAAATTTTAATAACTTATTTTTGTTTGATTTTTATTTTTAGGAAGAACTATCGAATCGTTGGGCAGAAATGGCTGCTGAAGTTTCACATGTTTTGTCGAATGAATTGCAATTGGCAGAAGAAGATCAACCCATACCATTTGATTCGGCATCAGATGTACCAATTGATGATCAAAAGTAGGTCACTTAGGTTTTAATTTTTCTTTATTTAAAAAAAAAAAAAAAATTAATTGCTAACAAAAATATTAGGGTTCGCTTTATTTTGTTATTAGAGTTTGCAAATAATTTAAATTGTGGACAATGAAACGTTACGAAACGTTACTTTTGTTTAATCAAAACTTATATTTAATGTTCAGTTCAAGTAATTGGAAATTATTTAATTACAATAATAAGTAATTGTAATTGGCAAAACTAACTACAATTACAAGTAATTGCAAAGTTTCAATTACAAGTAATTGCAAAGTTTCAATTACAACTACATTTGATGTAATTATTACTCCCAAGCCTGCTGCATAAAAAGTACCGGACTTGACAATTACAATTATGTACTTGTATATGCATAATTAAGCAATAAACAATTATAATTATTTGTACTTACTTGTAATGCGTAATTGATAAATAACTAATTACAATTACTTGAAATTATAACTGAAGTTTTGACCTTTACAACTACTTGTAATTGTAATTGAAGTTCTACTCATTTACCGAATAAATATTACATGTAATTATGTAGGAAAAAATTCACTTTTGTTTAATCAAAAGGTGGCTTAAACGTTCAGTTTCATGTAATTGTAATTGGAAATTCTTTAATTACAATAATAAGTAATTGGAATTGGCAAAACTTCAAGTGCAATTACAAGTAATTGTAATTAGCAAAACTTCTAGTACTATTACAAGTAATTGTAATTAGTAGAGTTACGATTACAATTAATTCAAATATAATTGTAATTAGAAATGTAATCGTTTCAATTTCAAGACTGAAAAGTACTTAATTATGTTCACTTAGGTTAGGTTGATATGAGGATGTATAGTACATCAAATCCGAAGAAATACACGAAGGCCACTATCGAGCCTGTTGTGCGCACCTTTTTTTTCCAATCAGTATTAGTCAGGAATGTTATTTCTGGAATAACATCACTTCCAAGATACTTGGATCTAACTTCGACGAATGCCTGACAGTGGCAAAGAAAGTGCTACAGAGTTTCACTGTCCTCATCACATGCTCTACATTCGTCTGAATTCGCACGTCCAATTTTGTATAGATGTGCTCGTAATCCTGTGTGCCCACTTAAAATACGTACCATCATACTAACTTCAGACTTGCTCATTTTGAGGAGATTTCTCGTCGTATTCTCATCGGGGTCACCCCATAGGATCTTTGTGATTTTACGGGATTCTCTCACCCACATTTTTAATTCAGCTTTTGTTGCGTCGAATAGTTTTGCGTTTATCAGGTTAACTACATCCTGCTCTCTTCCCTTTAAAGCTATTACATTCGCTCTTTCGTTGCCGCGTACTCCCGAGTGGCCTGGTACCCATATGATGTAAACCTTGCCTCTGGGAAAGTATTCAGTTAAAGCTTTCTTACAATCCAATACGGTTTTAGATTTAATGCTATCACCTGATATCGCCCAATGGTCTTCTGGATGTCGGTAAATATATAAAGGGCTGTAAGCGCCATATTTATTCTAATCCAATTTACACATTCCGTTATTGCTCGGATTTCTGCCGGGAAGCTTGTGTTATGATTAGGTAAACGATGGTATATTTCTGTTTCTGGGTCTTCAATATAAAACCCCAGATCCACTTTGTACTGGTATTTGCTCTAAAGTTCCACTTGACCAATACATTCTATCTGGGATCAGCGTTTCAAAGTTTCCGACATATTCAGTGTCTGGTATGCGATCAGGCACGTCCGATGAATGTGTATAACCTTCCAATGTGTCCAGTATACATTGATGACGTGTCCTATAACCGCTTTCGGCCTGTTCGCCTAAAGTAAAGAGCCGTTCGTTTGAATTACAATTTTTGTCTAAAGCAGTCCACCAGATTATTGTAGCATAAGATGGAGTTTTGTTCACTTATGATGTGCCAGTATTTCGACAAAGAGTCAATGCATCTGAAAGAAACAGTGATTTCCATTTTCTTTTGTCACAGATGTACTTTTTGTAAACGTGGGTGAAAATAATCGTCTTTTTAGTGTCCCCTTTGTAAGCGAAAGAGTGGACACTTAAAAAACAAATTTAAGCTTGTGTATGTCTCTTCATAATGTATGGGGTGACGATTGACTTCTTCCTAGGGCGGTTGGTGACTAGAGGTAACTTTAAATGGTAGGTTGATTAGGTAGTTCGGGACTGTCCGACCGAACTGCTGGGTGGTTAGGATATGAGAAAAATCTCCAAAACCCTATATAGAATGTATATCAAATGAAAGGTCTTATGAATAAATTTCCTTTGATGTACATATATATAAATGTATATATCGAACATGGCATAGCATTCTGCCCTATTCTTCATGTTGCTTCTCGAAAATATGTCTGATGAAATTTTTAAAGATTTGTTTACACAAGTTATCCGAGGTCTTTAGGAAACTGTTTTCATTAGAGATGTAGACAGAAAGATGAAAATTTCTAATACATCTGCGATATCTATAGGGATTCAGAATATGTCACAAAATTATTGATGTTGTGAAAATTAGTAACGGAATGATAGACTTGTATATGGGCAATTTCATGTTAAGTGACCCAACTCAAAAAATAGATTTTGACCAAGGTTAGTACTATTGGATAGTAGGTCAGACACAAATTTTCAGCTTTATCGGTCAAGAACTGCCGGATTTAGAGGGGGTCAAAGTTGGACATTGTGGTCATACAGGGTTTTATTCACCTATTGGTCCTAACAAAAATTGCCCAAAGGAGTTCAGATAGCTATTTCGTCATTCTTTCCAAAATCTTTTTTTAAATTTTTTGTTTTGCTTAACAGAAAGCTTATACAATTTTCTTTAAGGGCTTTAAATTCCCACAATGGGATGCGAGTGGGATATCTATAAAAAAAAAAAAATTTTAACTCACGAATTAAATTTTGTCTAGCCTACTATCCAATAGTACTAACCTTGGTGCGATTTTCATTAAAATCGTTTTTAAAAGTTGGGTCACTTGACATGAAATTGCCCATATGTATGCCCCACTCAGTAAAGTGAAGGGTATTAAAAAAACTGTTAGTAGCAAAATATTTAGTTTTTTGTTGCTTTAAAAAAAAAACAAACTTGTTTTTTCTAAAATTTATTTATATCGAACAGAACTTCTGTTTGTTATTTTGAATATTGCCACTGGGGAGGAGAAACTATTTAAATACCTTATGATATATGGAGTGTTGTGTGATGTTGTACATTTAGTTAGTGATGTGGTGATGGCATATAATTAAAAACTTTATAGTTTTTTATATGCAGTATGATTGCAGTCGGTTAACATAGTTAAAAAATAGTTTGATTAAATTTCAAAAAATGTTTCAACAAAAATAATAAAATATGCTTAAATGAAATGGAATGTAATTAAACAATTTTATATAATTTCCAAATAAATAATATACTATTTTAAATACTTATTAAAAATTGAAAAATATATAACTAAGTAATATTAGTTATACTATAAAATCATAAACTATACATACCTAAAATGCTGATAAATTTAAAACAAGTAGGAAAGTATAGTCGGGCATGGCCGACCATATAATACCCTACACCATGAGTATATTTTAAAAATTTTTATTTTTCACAAAGAAACTTTTATGTTGAATTTTACCTTAATTCCAAAGTATTTAAGCAATTTATTGATAAAAACAAATTTTCTAAATGAGGCTTTATATAGGAGTATAGGTCAAACATGGGCCGATCCTCATTAAATTTGGGAAAAGGATATATTTTTAAATAATAGTTAATTATGTTGAGTTTCATTGCGATACAAATGGTTACAAGTCAATTTTAGACGTTTAAGACATTTTTTGAAGGGGGGTTTGTATGGGGGCTAGGGTCAAATAAGGGCCGATCATTACGAAAATCTGCAGTGTCATTTATACTTATATAAAACTTATTTGTGCCAATTTTTAGAGAGATAATAACATATTTGACGTAATTATGGCATAAAAAGCCCAAATCGGGAGGTACGGTTGTATGGGGGCTAGGTGAAATAATGGACCGATTTCAACCATTTTCAATAGGCTTCGTCCTTGTGCCAAAAAACATGCTTGGTCCAAATTTCATCAATTTCATACATGGACAGCCAGCCAGCCGGACAGACGGACGGACGGACGGACGGACATGTCTTAATCGACTCAAAATGTGATTTTGAGTCGATCGGTATACTTAAAGGTGGGTGTAGGACCAATATTTTTGTGTGTTACAAACATCAGCACAAACGTATAATACCCTCCCCACTATAGTGGTGTAGGGTATAAAAAGTCAAAACTCTGGCACTAAATATATATTTCTTGAATCTTAACCGAGATTCTTCTTCATTACCATATATCAAATCGTTTAAACTCTACAAAAGAAAAGACAATAAAAATGTATTTTCTACATTTCTACATCATAAAATCAATATAATTTGATTAAATAAAATAAAATAGTGTTTTCTTACGACAATCCCCAAATAATTGTATTGTATTTGATTTTTTTTTTTCTTTACGCCATTATTTTCTTTTTATATGTATATCTTCGATAGAATTTCATCAACTTAAGTACATTCATATCATACAATTCATTTTATTTCAATACATTTCATACTTATTCGTTCTTTTGATGATTAGTTTGTTCAGATTTTTACTTTGACATACATACTTTTTCTTATTTCTTATTGGTGTTTTACTTACTTGAACTACATCAAGTATATGTTCTTGAGGAAAAGTTATCGCAAATAATTTTGTTTCGTTTTATCATTTCCTTTGTGCTGCTGGATTTTCCATGTTAGGAAAAGGTGTTACATTTGTATGATTTGGAAATAATTTAAATTTCTTCATATGTAATGTTTTCTCCAAAAAAGTACATCGAAATCTTGAAACCTTGATCTCAGTACAATATGTTAAATAAAAATTCTACAATCTTTACGAAATGGGTTTCAAACATAATGTAATGAGATCAAGATTTTCAATCGCTGGTTGGGAGCTGAGGCTCTTTTCAAAAAAAAAAAAAAAAAAAAAAAAATAATATATTTTTGTACTCTACACCAATATAGTGTATTATGCGTTTGTATTGATGTTTGTAACACCCAAAAATATTGGTACTACATATGATGTTTTGATGAAATTTGGCTATTGAATATGATTGAAATCGGGCTTTTCAGCTCATAATTATGTTAAATGTTCCAGTATGCCAACAAAAATCGGCAAAATTTAGTTTTTTAGAAGTTTAAACCATTGCCCCCATACAAACTCCCCTTTAGAAAATGACTTGAAGGTCAAAATTCACTTATAAACACTAATAACACGATAAAATTCCACATAAATAACTTTGATGCAGATGTAAATTACTCTACTAACATTTATAAGGATAGGTCCATATTTACCCTCCCCCCTATATAAGCACTCTTGTAGAAAATATCTTTTTTTTTTTGTTAACAATAAGTTGAAATTTTTCGGAATTAAGATAAAAATCAAATTAAATGCTTTATTTTTTAAAAAAATTATCCAAATTTTTAACATACCCACTGGTGTAGGGTATCATATGGTCGACCATGCCCGGCTATACATTTTATTTTTCCTCTAATTAGAACATTAGTATGCATGGTTTAATAGGTATTTCTTGAAAAAAGTGGAAATTAATTATAATATTTGTTAACCTTTCATTTTTGGAAGAGGTGGTCTACGGACGCTTAAAGTCGCACATGCCTTGGGCTATTTATACCCTACACCACTATAGTGGGGAGGGTATTATACGTTTGTGCCCACCTTAAAGTGTACCGATCGATTCAGAATTATTTTTTTAGTCGATTAAGTCTGTCCGTCTGGCTGGCTGTACATGTAAGTATAAATGACACTGTAGATTTTCGTAATGATCGGCCCTTATTTGACCCTAACCCCCCATACAAACCACCCTTCAAAAAATGTCTTAAACGTCTAAAATTGACTTTTAACCATTTGTATCGCAATGAAACTCAACAAAATTAACTGTTATTTAAAAATATATCCTTTTTCCAAATTTAATGAGGATCGGCCCATGTTTGACCTATACTCCTATATAAAGCCTCATTTAGAAAATTAGTTTTTTTTTACCAATAAATTGCTTAAATACTTTGGAATTAAGGTAAAATTCAACATAAAAGTTTCTTTATGAAAAATAAAAATTTTAAAAATATACTCATGGTGTAGGGTATTATATGGTTGGCCATTCCCAAATATACTTTCCTACTTGTTTTCCTGTGTTTTTTAATTATTTTTTTGCAAGTGTCCAATGTGTTTGAAATTCCTTTTCCATAGTGGTTATGATGCCAAATCGGGCCAGAAATGTGAAGGTACTCTGTGCTGATTTTCTTTTTTTGTCCGGTATTAGTCTTGAACATTACCTCGTCCATCAGCGGCACAAAATCATGACCAGGTAGTTAGTTGTAAAATGTCTATATATGTACAGAGAATAGATTGCAAATAAAGAATTTCACTCTTTTTCTCGGCTTTTAAGTTTTTTACTTTTGATTGATCAGAATTTTCTGAACTTTATATGACTTCAACCCAGCATGAGCTTAGGCTCTACGCACAAAAGAATATCGAATATCAAAACTTTACGAGCTGCTTTTCTAATGGAAGTCTCTTGGGTGATTTTGGAAATAGTTATTGGACTTAGTTTGCCCTATCAATATCTGCTTGAACTTGCTTCCAAGATCCTGATTTTCTTGTTCAAGTATTCTTTATACGGTTCTTTAAGGAAGCTTCATTTGTACTTTTTTTTTATGTCCATATTGTTAAATTTTCTTTTGTTTTGTAATATTTTGGAACCAAGAATAAGTTTTAGCTAGAAAGTTTTTCTGACTCAGTCCTTATTATCTAAATATAACTCGTTGCCATGCCTTTCTATAGCGAGTCTGATTTGTTAAAAGTTTATTTTGAAAATACTTTTGCATACCTTGACAAAATAACATTGTTGTGATATTAGTTCCTAGATACTACTTTGACAGCATTCACAACAACATAAGTCACTATTCTAAAACACCATCAACATAAAGTTGTCGCCATTTGTTGTTTTTTTTTTCTCCTAAAATGATGAAAGGAAGAGAAAAAACATTTCAAAATGTCTTTAAATTTGATTGAATCTTGTTATTTTATTTCTGCTACATCATCATCAATTCAAAGATTTCTCGTTTTTTTTGCCTAGATTAACTTTATTTTATAAAAATCCTTTTGTTAACAATTTGTCTTTTTTATCTTCTATATTTACGTCTATTTCAGGGAAGATTGTATGATAAGGATTCACAAAATGTTGCGCACTGGTAAATTGGAACATGCCGTTGCATTAATGCGTGCTGCCAGGTAAGTTTAATACTATATTTCTATCAAGTACAGTAACATCCCCTTCACCACTCACTCATACATAAGGAAAATATTGTATTGAAATCTATTGATAGAAAAGTGTGTGTGTGTTGAGTAAAAGGAAAACACTGGTTTTAAATTTCCTTTTAAAAACACTCGCTAATGTGTTTTTTTCAACTGAAATGTATTTTTGATTACACTTTAATAACGAAAGTGTTTATATGCTTTTTAGCTCAAAGAATTGTTAAAAGTTATATGGATAAAAAATTGAGTTTATATGAGATATGTTTACAAATATACAAAAAGACATTTTTTTGAAAGGAAACTAAAAGATTAAAGGTCTTAAATTTCAATCATATTAGATTGCTAAATCTTTTATTTAGATTATTTTTTAAAAATACAAAGTATCCTTTAGTTGCCTATAGCAATCAAAACAAGTGAGAGTGTTATATTCGGCTGTGCCGAATCTCATATACCCACCATCAAACCGTATGCCTTAAAAAGATATTACTCATCAAATTAACTGATGAGGACCTTATATGAGAGATAGAGTTAATAATTGACCGTTTTTCATAAACAAATTTTAGACCAATTTTGGTTCATACAAAACATCTTTTCATCGAATATCACTTCCCGACACTTTCCGCATGAAATTGGGTTGGAAGATGATTTATGTTCCTATAAATGTTTTTTATATAAAATTTCATAACTGTTCACGTATTTTTAAGTCAGCAAAGATCGTTAAAGTAATTTTCTTATGGACCGATCCTCAATACATTTGATGAATAGGTTTTAACTCGTATAAAAAATATGTGTGTGTGTCGAATTTCATCGCTTTTCTGTATTCTGTATTTTTAAGCCAGTAATTATCGTTTAAGTAATTTTTTGAAGGGCACCTTATATGTGGTCAATTATGGACCGATCCATATAAAGTTTGATAGAGAGATTTTTGTATCATTGAAACTTATGTGTGTCGAATTTCATCACTATACTCGTATTTTTAAGCCAATAATGAGCGTTAAAGTCATATTCTGAAGGGTACCTTATATAGGGGTAGGGTCAATTATGGACTGATCAACATACAATTAGGTAGAGAAGTTTTTGATAATAAGAGACTTATGTCAAATTTCATTGTTATACTAGTATTTTTAAGCCAGTAATGAGCGTTAAACAAATTTTCTGAAGGGGCCTTATAAGAGGGTAGGGTCAATTATGGACCGATCCTCATAAAATGGTAGGAAGATTTTGGATCATATGAAACTTTTGTGTGTTAAATTTTATTACTATAATCGTATTTTTAAGCCAGTAATGGGCGCTAAAGTAATTTTCGAAAGGGGACCTTATATGGGGGTAGGGCAATTATGGACCGATCGACATAAAATTTCATTGTTATGTAGTGAATATTTGTGGAAAATTTCAATCCTCTATCTTGCTCCGTTCGGACTCTATCGTGCTTTCAACAGACAGACAGACGGGCGGGCGGACGGACGGACGGACAGACAGACATGGCTAGATCGTCTTAGAATTAAATAAGGACCCAGAATATATATATACTTTTGTGGGTCTATGAAAAATATTTCGATGTGTTACAAACGGAATGACAAAATCAATATACCCCCATCCTTTTTGGTGGTGGGTATAAAAAAGTCTAGAAACATTTTGTTATCTTTAAAATAGGCTTGACTTATGTGTAAAACTTAGTACTTTTTCCCAGACGCAACAATTTTTATTGTTTTTACACAACAGCCATTTTTATCTTTAAAAAACAAAACTAACTCCTTTACTTTATCTCACTTAGATTAACCAAATTAAAACCAACTACCAAGTAACTAATTATGTAAGATTCACCTAAAGTGGGTGTCTACAGTAAAGTTTGCATTAGTTTTATCTAAATCAAGTTTAAATTTAATGCCACATAAATAACTTTAGACACTTTTTTTCTGGACAAAAAAAAAAAAAAAAAAAAAAAAATATATGCTAAAAATAGGATGAAACTACAAAAGAAACTAGTGGTTAAATTTAGAAAGAATACACCATAGAGTAAAAAATGTTAAATATAATTAACACCTACTTGCATGGTATGAGTATAAAGTGATAAAATTAAAATATGTACTACAAAGAAAAAGACCCAGACTACTATCCTCCACTAAAACTATTTGTTTTGTCTATATTTTTTTAATTTTATTCTTTTATTCAAAAGAAGTTTTACATAAAAGTGAACATTTGGGAATAAAATGTGCGGACGTTCATTAGGGGTTCTTGGAACCTTTCATATGAATTAAATACAAAAATTCGTATGTCTAAGAAACTATTAGAGCTAAACTCTTGCATCTATGTATATATTTAGATCTAGAGTCCTCAAATTTAGCATGAAGAACTTTGACACTCATGTGAACATGAGAGGTACCATACCCATATTGGTATGGTACCTGATTCCTTAAATTTTATATACATTTGCTATTAAATCATACCAAAAATTCTCAAAATAAGTACTTTTAAAGATAACTTTGACCTCAAAAAGGCTTAAATTAGGTTTTTCGTACTCAAAGGGTCGGTACTTGAATAAAGTATTTTGTACTTGGTTTAAAAAAAGCCGTACTGACCATACTTCTGAAACCGCTTGGGATTTCGTTTCAGTTCTCTGTTTCTTAATCAGAAACTGAGTACTTTTCCTTTTGAAAAAAGTACTCTTAATTAGTTTACTCATAGTCTGTATACTTTTCGTATAGAAATCTGCATCTAAGTATTTTTTCTATATAAAAAGTTCGTAGAATTCAATTACTATTCGTTGCACTCAGAATATGTTTACTTTTCCTATAGAAAAAGTACTCTGTCTCTTAAAAATTATAGTGTACTCAATATCTATAAAAAAGCGCTCAGAATCTGATTATTTTTCTTATAGAAGCTTTTAGAATCTGATAACTTTTCTTGCAGAAAAACACACTCAGAATATGGAAAATTTTCTTATAGAAAAGCACTTTGGATCTGTGTTTGGTTTGTGAGTACCTTTTCTATAATTTCTGTGCACTTTTAGTGCAAAATCTGCTTTAAAACATTTTCTTAAAGAACGAAACTATCTTTATTTAACACTTTTTAGGCAATGTTCACATTTTTACCACCTAAAAATTCTCAGTGAGTAATGTAGTCACTTCCACTTCTATATTGCAAAAGAGTAAACTGTTTTATACTCAACACCACTATAGTAAGGTTGTTTGTTGAGCTGATGTTTATAACACCCAGAAAATATTGGTAATACACCCAACTTAAAGTATTGCAATCGGTTCAGAATCACTTTCCGATTCGATTAAGCTATGTTCGACTGTCCGTCCGTTTGTCTTACACGTCTGTGTGTTCTTGTGCGCCCGAAACAGATCGCAATAAGGTCAAGATAATTTGCGGAAATTTGGCACATATACATATGTGCCAAATACTAGGTAATGACTTTCAATTGAAATTACTTACCTAACAACATACTATTCAATGACTATTACATATAGTTTGGATTACATAGAAGTAGTCTAATAAGGTCTTACTAACAATGTGTTATATAAATACTTTATAATTCATTAGTCATCTTGCTAGTGAAGATATAGAAGATGTATACTTTTTTCATGCGATTTACAATGACTACTTTTTCTAATTATTTGTAATCGTTTGTGGTAAGTACTTGCCTCCAATTACTTCACCATGTTGAAATAATGACTTAAAATGCTATTGTGTAAGTAAATTTAAGCATTTTAACCCCTTACATGGTAATGAAAGTTTTCGCTGGGATACTTTTCTCTTCGCCCAATGACGAAGCCAATTGAAAATGGTTGAAATCGGTTTATTATTTTCGTAACCCGTATAGGGCCCTAGGGCTCATAAATGTTTTAAATTTTATAGTACTTAACTTTACAAAAATTGGCACAACTTAGTTTTGTATAAGATTAAGTTGTTATGATCGGGCCTCATTTGACCCTTGACCCATACAAAGTCCCCTTCCGACAATGATTTGAAGGTGCAATAATTCACTTATAAACACTAGTATCTCAATAACTTTAAAGGAAACGTAAACGCTTCTACTAATATATGAAAGGTAGGTCCATATTTACAATAAGCCCCCCTATAATCTCTCTTTCAGAAAATCATTTTTTTCAACAAATTATTATTAAACTATTCGGAATTAAGACAAAAAACAGTTTTATTATTAAAATGTTTACAGACATGTAGAGGGTATCATATGGTCGACCATGCCCGATTATACATTCTTACTTGTTTATATATAAAAAGTAGTTTAAACATAAAAAGAGAACAAGTCTAAAAAAATTGTGGGCGAAAAAAAAAAACACAAGAATACAAGAGTGGATCACAATATAATGCAAAGTAACAAAAGTATAATACAACAATAGAAGTGAATAGAAAAGGTGGACATTGTTTTTTAAAGGTAGAATTTTAAATTGTGTTCTGAGTAACAAAATTTAACAGCAAAAACGAATTTCGTAAAAGCTACATTTGTTAAAATTTAAAATAGATTTTTATTTTTTTTTTTACAAAAATTTTAGTTTTCATTAAAAAAAACACAAGAGATCACATATTAACGCACTATTTTAAGTGTTCGGGGAACTATTTTGTCGGTTATAACTGAAACTTCAATGCTGTTATTCCTGGTTATTAAACACTAAATTATATAATAGCATTAACACAATGTTGATATTTTAATAATTCTTTGTTGTGTTGTATTTTGAAAGAGTTTTAGTTACCGCACAACAGCTTAACAAAAGCCATATCTGTAGCTATGATTATTTGCGTTAGTCTGAAAATCAGCTTAATGTCTTTGTCCATTGTATACGAGCAAAATATTATAGAAATATACATACAAATATAATTTCAATTTAAACATACAACATACCTACATACAAATATATATTTTCCCTGATGTGCAGAAAGAGTAATACGAAAAAAATGTATAAAATGTAGTCAACTTCATCAGGTATCAACTTAAATTTTCCTCTTGTATT